TTTTCCGAGTAGGTGGGGTCCGTGTCGCCTTTCTTCTTTTTGGCATCCGTCAGATCATCGTACGAGATCTTGGACTTCGTCTTCTCCTGTCCAAGGGAGCAAACTCGTGCATTTCTGCTGCTGTGTCGCATCAATCTTAGAGTCTTAGAGGGCTCAGCACATTGGCCCCGTGCCCTCAAACTGCGAAGCTATGCCGCTCACGTCTGTGACAGAAGCATGTAATCTTGAGCGACAGCGTCATCGTCACGAAGCATATCAGGGTGAGTCCCGCTGCCCCGCTATGCATGTATGTTCTTGGCAAGCTGCTTCTTTCTCTTTCTCCTGCCAGGCAGACAGCCAACAAGGTTCTCGCCTCTCGCACGAAACATGTCAATGAGCTATTTCGGCCTGCCTTTGCCGCCTCGATGTCTGCCATGTACTGGTCGAAAATCTCCCACTGTGTAACAGTACCTGAGCAAAGACGAGCATTTAAAGGTGGCCGCAAGCACCGTCGCAAACCCTTGAACAAAGGCCGCCAGAGGTGCCATAATTTCGAGTCGTGGGCGGTGGCTGGGTTGTCCACGAGCGGTCTCGTAGCAAGTGATTCTTCGTCTGGGCAGCTCGCTCACTGAAGTTGAACTGGTTGCCTTGGCTGAGCACCGAGTTTTTGTGATCCTGCCCCACCCCCCTGGCCCTGGAAGGCCATCAAACAAGCTAAGGCTCGGAGAGGATTCTTTTTCGGAATTTCCTGAAGATGTACGAGACGAAAAAGCACATCTATCAAACTCCCTGGGCACTAACACTTGCCGATGTCCTTCTCGTTTTCCGGAGGGTCAAAATCTTCATCGATCGCCTCTTGGCTATCTTTTTCAGTCTGCTCCTGCTGCTTCTTGTCAAGAACCTCGTGGCGGCAGTCACCAAGGTTACGGTTACAGCAGCTTGACTCAAGGGCCTCGTCTTGATCCTGTGCTTCTGGGCTGTCTTTCAGAAGGATGCCACCATCCATACTGAAATGCATGACCACCTGATCTACCTCGCGGGGGTTGGATTTTGGATCGGGAGAGAGAGAGAGAGAGAAGAGACAGAGAAGAGAGAGAGGGAGAGACAGAGAGAGAGAGAGAGAGAGAGAGAGAGAGAGAGAGACTGCGTTGCCTTCCAACGGCAGCCACTCTAACGCTTCTTTCTCACTCGTTTCAATCGCAGCCCTTGTGGAAACTTCATGTGCGAGGGTGCCTGCTCATCCGTTTTGAAGCACTTCCTCAGCACTGGATGATCTATGGGTAGGTTGCCTCTCTTGCATAAACTGGAGCCAGGCTGCTCCTTGAAGGAGAACTGGGTCGTGTTGTGTGGAGCCCTGCGGTAACAAGAAGCATCCGGGGCTTCGTGGTGAACATGGTCCAGACATGTCCAAACCAGCCGCAACTGCGCCTGGGGTTTAGCGGGTACAGTACTCGTGGTGGAACTTCCTTCTCTAGCTCCTCTGGGCTCAGATCCAACTGGTCATCGGGTCGCACTTTCACCTCGGGCAGCTCTTACCTTTGCAACACCGACACCAACGCTCTCACCAGTGCCAGCAGGGGGCGATCACAGGCATGTCATAGTCGTCCCCTGTCTCCTCTGGAGCCTCGGGGGGAGGCGTGCTGCGCGCTGGTCCCGCCGGTGCCTGGTGGAATCAGAGCGATCCAGGATCGGAAGGTCTAATTTGGGCCGCTCGCGCCTTCGGCATGGCGGCTTTGGGAGCCATTTCGCTTCCCCAGCGCCTTCAGCCAAGCTGCATAAAGTTTGATGTTTGCGAGACGAGAGCGACGGGACGACAAGCATGACCCCGCACTCCAAATCCGAGTGCAGCCGCGGTGCTGTAGCCAGGAACCACCCAGCACTTGAGCCAGAAATGATTTGGAACAACAATCCATGTGATGCAGCAAGGCACATCATACATCAGTCAACCGGTAAGATGCATCGAGCTGACATGTCTCAGGGTTTAGCCGACAGTTGCCAGAGCCATCGCAAACTGTGCCGGACCTGCTGCGCAACTTGGTCGTGGACTGAGCACTCAGGAGTCCTGTTCCCTCTCCAGGCTCCGAAACATCGTCGTAGGCCCACCACACACGAGCATTCGCCGGGGCTAGGCCCGCCAAGCCTTGACTGGACTCTTCTAAGTTCCCCGAAACAGATCAGAATTCGACAAATGTTCCGTGCCAGCGACTGTGGAGCAGGAGCGACTTGCCAGCACCCGATGGGCCCATGACAGCAAGGCATCGCCCAGCACGGGCAAGCCTTGGCAAAAAACTAGCATCTGGACAGTTGGAGCTGAGCAGAACTTTTGGATAGCCAAGCAACCCAGAATGCGGCTCTACGAGCACATTGGTCCCAACAGTGACGGAGAGATTGGACCAGAAGATACTTCCCTTCATGCTTCGCATCTTGACTACACTGAGCTGAGGGCACATGATGCAATCTGAACCACACCTCCTCCATCGGTGCTGCCATGCAGGGGAAGTTGCGATGAGTTACGGAGCTCAGAGACTGTCTTACTTGCGTAGTCAGATGTATGTTACTTCGAGTGGTCGGCAGACCACCTGCACACACAAGAACTTCAGCACTTGTTGGAGCAAGCTCTAGCGATGTATTGTTTGGCTTGGTGTCGATCCGATTCGGAGCTTGTCTGAATGCGGCACCCTCAGAAAACTTGAAGATTTTGCGGCCTTGCCAAGATCTTGTCTTAACCACAACGACGTCACAACGAGCTGAGGAGATGCGGCGGGCACTGACAAGCATTTACAAGCCAAGGCCCCAAGCATGCAGGCTTGGCCACAAGTGGTCGATCTCCGAGAAGCCCCCGTCCTTTGCCACCTGAGCGTAGTGACTGAGCCAGTATGGCAGGTTCCTGGTTGGTTCAGTGTCACTGTGTTTGCGTGCACGAGTGCCGAACCCAGACATACTTGGAAAGACAGCATTAGTTACTTTTGTCTGCCATCGGGCTGAGCACCGATGCATCCAAGGGCAGAGCGGCACCGAAGGCCAAAATTTTATCTGCCTCCATAGATTAGCATGGACCAATGGACCCTGTCGCAAAAAATAACTGATTTTCTCGGCCCTCGTCCATGCCCGCCTGGCTGACTTTGGCTTGAATTTCTGTAATACTTGACACAACTTCGCTACTAATCTACTCGTAATCTGCGAGTAAGTTACATCATCGAGCCCATGCAAGCTCTCTGTGTGGGCTTGTTGGCTCCATTTTGCCGTGCACGATTTTCTGTTGCCTGCCGCACTCGTTTTGGAAAGGGCCGACGACTCTCCCTATGCTTGGCTCCACAACTGCCATGCGCAACACCATCTCCAACGGGGCACGTCCGAAAAACTGCAAAAAGCATGGCCCTCCCTGCTGCCTGTCCTATCTGTTGTGCATAGAGATGTCGCAGGACCATATAGCCCTATGTTTTTCCGGCTCTTAGGAATGATCACTGGTCAAGAGAACGCAAGCGAACTGGAATCAGACCAATCCCAGCCGCTCCAAGCCAAAACTGCACCTGCAAGGAGTCGGATTTTTGCAACGAAGGCTCAGTAATAGTATGAGTCGCAACCAACGGCAAGAGCAAACCGAAGGGGAGCAGGCGATTGAACGGAAAACCTGATTTAAAAAGAATTTGGCGACAATAATTAGCAGCAGAGCCATCGCGTGAATCGACGAATAGCTCCCGTCTTGATGCTGCGGCTCGTAGCCTACGCTTCCCTTCATGCCCGGCCTTGCTGACAGAGATGCGCACAGGCACTACGAGCATGTGACTAGGGTGCAATCAACCTTCCACCCAGAGCTGCCCTCTGGCGAGGCTGCGGCGATGATGTTCTCGAAGATGTCCGGATCTGGATGGTCAACATACCTTCGCGTTTGTTGCAGAGCGTTGCCGTGCCATGCCGTGCCTGCCAATGGTCCACGCAGGTGGTGACGCTCAGGAACCTACTCTTCCCAAAGCTCTTCTTCGTTGTGCACGACACTCCTGCAGAGCAACCAAAGCTCGTGCAAAGCAATTAGCCACACTTTCAAGAATGTCCTTGACCGCCACAGGCGCGATGCGGACATGACGCGACGACGCGAAGCGAGAGGCCTGGAAATCCAAGCGTCTCAAATCGAACGCGACCCGCGACCAGGCTCAGCCAAATGGCTCCCAGCAGACGATAAAGCATGTGACCACGTAATCACACAGCTGAAATTCGTGAAACTGGCCAACCCAAGGGAGATTTGAGCTGGAAAAGCATAGACGAGCCGTGATTTGTCCACCTCTGCTGGGGGAGTCAGGCTGTACTGTGACAAAGTTCTTGTGCTCTCCAAGCGGGCAGCCCATCCTTGCGCCCTGCATGGCTGCCCTGCTTACAGGGACCCGTCCTGCTTAAGCAGCCTTTGCTCATGGAAGGCGCCGCTATACACAGATTGTCCAGCAGAGAAGCTCCGAAGGAGCTCGCCGGACACTAAGCAACGCAGGCGCCACAACTGCTCTCACAGGCTACGAGTACGATCGAGTACATAGTGCGAGTAGCCGCACTCAAACTTTCAGAAATAGGGCCACGGCTGGCTTCGCATTGCAGCGGCGCTGTCACTCGCTGCGGCCACGGCCCGAATTCAATTTCTCGGGCGTCAGGTTGCGGTCTCACACCATCGGCCCAAGAAGCTGTGGCAACATGGTCTCGTGCCATGCTGGCAGGCGTTGGTGCTATGTCACGGGCCCTTTGATTTGCGACATCGACACGGCATCTGACACTGTGAATTCTGAACGGCTCGGACACACAAACGCCAAGGAATGCAAAACAGATTCTGAATTAAGCAGTGTTGGCTTATTGGCTTCAGCCTTAAGCCGTCAAGGTGAGGTCGGGCAGGCTCTCTGCCTCACCTCAGGAGCCTGCTCCCAGATGTATGGCCACAGCCGAACGCAAGGAACAGAAGCTTCTCAGTTCTGAGCTGTCCACAAGCCTGGGAGGCTCTCATAATGCAAAATTCCATGACTAGCCTTCCGCCAGCCGGTCTCTCACAGAATAGCTGGCATGAAGATTTCCTGCTTTTGAGGGCAGGCACCGCTGATGACTTGAACTTGCTACCCCTTCCCTGCTTTGTGCCCGTAAAGTTCCCATCGATGCCTCAGGATGGCTTCAGGTTTCCAGCTTCAGGCGATTGTCAGGCGAAGGAGAAGGGGAGGAGGCTGACGCGAAATGAAAGTGAGGCTCAATAGCAAATGAACACATGTCATGGAAACATCAGGGGGAGCAGAGAGTTTTAATTGTTCACATGTCTCAACTAGTCTGGCTACTGTCCTGAGACAGAACGACATGCAGGCTTGATGCGCACGGTAGCTGCGTGTTCCCTGTACAGAAAGACATTCGTCGATCTCAGTTTCGGGACAGTTTTGCACAAGTTCACAAAGCGTCCACAGAACTCGCTGTCCTTGGCTGCACTTCGTGCTTCCCTTGCCTGCCCACGCTGCAAGAACACAAACAAACAAGACGTCTGTCCAATATGAGCTGCCGAGCCTTGGCTTTCTTGCGCAGCTTGACTTCCCCTGCCAGAACACCACGACCCTTGTCGTGCCAGAGGCGGGGTTTTGAAGCGGGTTTATCCTTGAGGGCAAGTTCCGTCAAGAGGTGCGATCGGCTTGTGGATCCGGTGGTCAACACGTCAGTCGCCACGCCCTCCGTCGCTCCCGGAGTGTCAGCGTCTCCCTCTCTTTCCTCAAACCTGAACGAGAGTTTCTCCCTAACCCCCTCTTGCGGCGGCCGTCTGCAGGATGCTCCTCGTGTCAGGCCACGAGTCACGAGCTGCGAGCTGCCTGTCTTTCTTTCTGCACTTCTAAGGGTGGTGGACCCGGCCTCTCAGCTCTACCTCTCAGAGTCGCTCTGTCTCTTTCTTTGCCCATCCCTGACAAGGAACCCCCTGGTCACCCCGGGGTTTTAGGTCGTCGCCGAGGAAAGAATCTAGGTTTAGCTTGCTGCGCCTCTGAGGTCCCGACAAGCACTGTTCCACCAACACGTAAATATCTACAAACACGATTATTCGCAGGGCATCTTCCCCTCTTTCCCATGACATGCCCACAAGGGAGGTTGCTGTGGGAGGGACTGTGGAATCTATGCTCTGTAGTGACTGTCACAAGGCTTTACAACTCGTTGATGAGCCGGACTATGCTAAGTCACCTTGCCGATTAAGCAAGGAAAGCGCAAAACTCCAAAGTAGAATCATCGTTCCAGCAGCTCAAGAAATGCATCTCGATACTTCTCATCACTGAAATATCAGTGCTTCTGGCACTAGCACGGGACCTCCTCATCCAGATTCAGCACCATCTGCTAGGCTGCTAGGCATCCAGTAGAGTTGAGACATGCATTGCCGTGTTGCAGCAATTCAGGCTCGTCAATCCAAAACTTTTCCCCTAAAGAACTCTGGTGCCAGTCGAAACACACGCTGTTGAGCACTCCATATCACAGAGAGGTGTTGAACACGCAGAACCCATCATAGCAGCGAATATCAAGCAAGCACATCTTTTGAAGTTGCGCGGTTTGACAAACTCATCAGAACGGGTTTGGGCAGTGAGTTGCTTATTTTCTTCCGTCGTATCCCCGAGCATCAGTCCAACCTTCGTTCGACCTGCGCGTTACCCGCTCGCCTGCCAGCCATTGTATTAAGAAGTGCACAAAATCTTTGTGGTCGATGCTTTCCATCCGTCCCCCATTCCTCTCTCTCTGAATCCCACATCCAACCCCCTTTGCTCCCCACACGTGTGTGAGCCCTGATTTATCATGCACGCCATACGAGGAGTTGTCTGCTCGGGGCGGTAATACGCAATCGTGTCGGGGGTGTAAGCATGGGATCGCTAGATTCTTGAAACTGCTAGCGTTGAGGATCCATCTGTTTCGCCACTGGCCGACTTTGTTGAAGCAACGCGGCTTAGCACAAAGCCATGTGCCATTGAAGTGCGGGTCCCCAGTTCAACCGGTCAGTGCCTCCATGCTCCTTTGCGTTGCAAGGCTCCGGACATCGCATTCTCAAAAATCTTGCCGAATGATACATCCCACCAAGGCTCCAGGTTAGACATGCCTAGCAATGCCCCGTCTCTTTCCCTCTGCCTGGTGGGCACAAGTGGCAACGACCGCAGTTCCTTCCATTGTGGCCTCGCAGCAGCCGCAACGGAAAGAAGTGCAAAACAGGATAGCGGCAGATTCAAGCTGAGGTGGAGGCATCCTTGCGGCTTCCAGACCCAGGCACACGGACTGCAGCAGCCTGGCAGGCAAGGATTTTGCGGCGAGCATGGCGCGCTCGCTCCCAAGCTCAATCTTGGCCTTTTGCATGCAGCACCGATCCCACGGACGGTAGGTCAGCCAAGTCATCTGCCTGCCGCCCAGCGACTGAATTTGTGGCCGAAGTTCAACCATGCGCTCCGCAAAAGAAAGGAGCCGGCCTGCAGAGCACCGAGATCTTCTGAGGGCAAACGTTCAAGAGCTACTCCAGAGTGAACTCGTGGGCAAGAGCCATCCAAAGCTGGGAGCCGCAAGGTGGAGGCTCGCTTTACACCACTCTCTTCACAAGGATCCTCGGGCTTGTCAACCGCAATGTCAGGCTTCTGGCCAATGTGGTCGGTCCACAGCTGACGCTGTCCGAAGCTTTTGCCCAGAAATGCCATAGGCTTGGACTTTGGAGAGTCTGGAAGGGGTAAACTCCAGTCAATCACCGGGGGCCGGGTCTCGCTCGTCGGGGCATCGATGGCTGCTTCGAGTTGCTCCGCGGGCCGCTCAATCGGCTGCAGCACGATGCCGGCAGTCCTCGCCCCACAGCCCGACTTGGCCTTGCTCCAGAAGTCCAAAGGCTGAGGTGGCTGAGGCTGTTCCGGCAAGCTTGGAGGCATGGGTGGGGCCATGGGCGGTGGGCACGGCTCCAGGCCAGGGGGAGGCCGCCACGTGAGCTCAGGCAATTCAACAGCATCCGCTTCCTGAGGGTCTAAGTGCGGCTCTTGCGCACGAAGCGCCGCCAGCTTCACCTGCCTTCTCATCTTGGACTCACCAGGCGGGCATACATGACAGTGCCCGCAATCTCTTCCATTCCGGCAGCCCTGCGCAAGGCAACCACCCCACCTACATCCCCTCCCTGGAAATAAACCCCGAAGGGGGACTTGAGAGACTTTCGGTCTGGCGATACCGCATGCATGCAAAATTGTGGAGAGCGGACGATGTTGTGCTTTCCAAGGGCACCTTTCTGTGATCACAGATGTCAACCCGAAGCTGGGGGGACGTTAGAGCTGATGCCTGCTTTGCGCTTGAAGGCCTCCCCGAATGAGACGGATGATGTCCCTTCCACTCGAAACGGATATTGGATCAAGTAGTTTTAGCTGAAAGCCGGTGGAAGACTCTTTACAGCTCAACAAAGATATCACCAGTTTCAGCCCGGCCTGCGGCTTCCAGAACCATGCGCAAGGCTTGCAGTTCCCTGTTCCATGCAGCGCAGAACCTACAGAGGCCAGGGGCTCCTGTTCTTTCAAGGTTTCCCAGGTCGGAGCAGGTGGCACTACGTCCTCGAGGAAGTTCACGGAGGGGGGCGACAAAGGTGGAGGCACCGGAGGCAGTGAGGTTGCCGAAAGCAGCGGGGCGATCACCGAAGAGCTCGATCCCATCTGAAGCACGTTGAGTGCATTTGCTGTTTCCTGCTCCTCTTCCTCCTCCTCGTCCTCCTCTTCGCCGTTTTCGTCTTTGCACCTTGGAACCGTGAGCCTCTTCAGCTGCTCCTGCAAAGCGTGGCAAGAGCCCTTTGTGCCCGCAGAAACTCGTTTGTCGGACGGCCACTTCTGTCCTTCTTGCGCCGCTTTATCTCTCCAGCAGGGCAGAGGGCTCCGTTCAAGCAGCCTTGTGATTTCCACATCCAAGCCTCAGCCATCCGTGTGTGCGCAGGGAAGGCCAAGCACTGCGAATCCGCTGCTGCTGTGGAGCGCAAGGTTTGCAGTTGCCGGTGCCATGCAGCAGAGATCCCTTGGACGGCAGGGTACTCGAGCTGGCCGCCTCGGCGGCGAAGCATTTGCAAGGCTTCCCACGTCAACGGTGCTACGCGACTCAATTGCGAAGTCAACTTCCTGGCATTGCCGAGAAACAGCATGGTCTGCATCGCCGGTCTCCTAACAGTCACGGGCTGTTCATCTCGCCAACTCATGATTGTCGAAAGAGTGGTTTGGAGCGCCACATCATTGCACTCTTCGAGCTGGGAAGCCGTGGTGTGATGTTGAGATTGATTGAGCTCGTAACTTCCACACTTACTGAGATTGAATGACGTGTGAGAGCGAAGCCAGTTGCTTCGGCTCCAGCTTCAGGATTCCACCAGAGCCCGGCACCCGCTCGTCGAATGAAGGCAAAAAACTTGTGAAAAAGCACAAATTTTCCAGGGCCACACGACCCAAAAGAGACACGAAGGGAAACCGGTAAGGAAGCCACCCATCCGAGGAGCACCTAAAGCGTACCTGAAGATGTCGACAAAGAACACGCAATAACCACACAGTTCGACCGTGGAAGGTGCCCCAGCCCTCGCTTGAGCTTATCCGACCTAGGCACATGCTGCGTGTGCTTCAGTTTCATTCAGCAGGAAGTCAGACGGAAGACACAGCAAAGGAGACGGACGCCCTGATCGACAACGGTCTGCTGCCTGACCCTGCAGGAGAATAGCTGAGATCAGGCTACCCGAATCCCTCGAAAGGCAACGGCTTACCATCTGTAGGCCGTGTGAGTGAGCATGCATGCATCTGTCCTCGTCACTGGGCGGCACGCAAGTGGCAGGCGTTGGCGGCATGTAGAGGCAGACTGAGTCCTGATGAGAAGCAAGTATCAAACACCCGTCTGCACATGCTCGACCGAAACTGAGTGGGAGAGAGAGAGAGAGATAGAGAGAGAGAGAGAGAGAGATTTTGATGCAAGCAAGCCTCATTCGCCTCCTGTGTACACTCAGGCCCGAGATGCAACGAAGCCATTTTCTCGTACCCCATGCTACGCTTCACCCTCTTTAAAGGAGGTCGGCTGGCAAGAGACCACGCTTTACGCACTTTATGAACTTTACGATGTGGGCGCAGCTGTGTGTGCCCATGCACAATCCTTCTTCGCATGTCTCCCAACTCCAGGCTCGTCACGCAACAGCACTGCAGCTGACCGATTGTCTCTTTCTGGAGGTCTAGAGGCGAGATTGTCAAGTGTTCCGATTTCCCGAATTCGACTATTGCTTCAAGCACACAAACGCATGCATGCTCCTACGATTCCTGCACTGTCCACACCTATACTGTAGACGGCACAGCGTCAGCTCCGCATGGTAAGACTAGCAAAGTCGAAGACTGGTGCTTCGACTTCGGTGTCTCTGTCTCACCCGGCAGTCAGCGACAGAGATCAATCTGTACTCTCAGCGCCGGCCTGCCAAGCCCATGCTCTGAGCATGCTCGGCGCAGCCATTACGTCACAAATCCACGGTCGGCTGGCGCGCCAACATCTATCCGACCAATCGCAGGGACATCTCGGAAATTTGCAAAGATAACAGCACACAGTCACCGCATCTTCGGGCTGCTCTCTGCTGGTTTTAGAGACTGCCAAGGAATCCCTGCAAGTCTTCAAGACCAAAACCTTAAAGGGTAAGAAGTGTGAAAAAATGCCTTTGCTTGTGTAAACAAGACAAGGCTGGAGACCTCATCTCATCAAATTCGCTTTCGCAGTTGGACGCTCGGATATGCTAGAAGTTCAGGACCCCAACCACTGCTTGGACGTCTAAGGCACGCCCTGAGCAAAACACTTCGGAAATCTCTTCGGGCTCCCTTAGCGAGCTGCTTGGGAAGGCAAGAAAACACATCAATCCGATACGGAACCCCAATCAGTGCCATGCCAAAATCACTATGAAATCATGACTGTCTTCCACCGGAGCTACAGTGTCACTACAAGTACGAATGCAAGCTTGGCTTGCAGTCGGAGAGGAGAGATTATGGCGAGTATGGCCCCATCTAGAGCTGAAGCTCAGCCAAGTTCTGAAGGCCGCTGGGAAATCAGAGTCTTTGCAAGTGGCAAACCATGCTAGACGATCAGAAGTCAGTGCTAGTCCAAGATCAACGGCGAAGCCGGAAAGCACCTCACCCAGTTGAGCGCGGTGACAGTAAAAAAAACAAAAAAACGTGCGTACTAATCAGCAACGCTAAAATGATACAGCTGCAGCCAGGAGGCAAGGGATCTGTTGCAACATCCTTGGATGCCTTGCTCTTCTTGCGCTGCTTGATTTCGCCAGCAGGACATAAATGGCATCGGCCACAGCCAGCCCCATGCCGACAACCCTGCGGCTTCCAAAACCATGCACAGGGCGAGCACTTTCCCTCTGCATGCAATGCAGAGCCAACTGATGGTAAGGCTGCTGGGAGCGCTTGCATCGGTGGGTGAACTGGCTGGTGATAAAGCGGTACGCTGGGGAGAATCCCCAGAGGCATTTCTTGCGGAAGATGTCGCCGTTCTCCGGCTTCGTAGGGGACGCACTTCAAACCGTCAGGACCACTTCTGCTGCGCAAACCTCCAATGCTTTGTGCCGGTTGGAAAGCAGGCAGCGGGTTGCCCAAAAGCACGGGCCTCTGCAGGTTCTGATGCTGTCCAATCTGAGCAGAGCAATACTGAGGAACGGGTGGGGCCGGTGGAATGGATGGAACTGGGGCTTGGTGACATTGAGGTTGGACATGGACTTGCACTTGCTGGGGTGGTTGCACTGGTGTGGACTGCATTGGCTGTCCCGGGAAGAAGGACAAAGACTGCAACTGCGCTGGGTTGCTCTGATGGTGGGCCACCTCGCAAACATTAAAGAGTAAGGCTGGCGCTGGCGTTAATACAATGGGTCTGACCTCCGAGCCGCCCAGGGGAAGGGCACCTGTGCCCAGCTGCCCATTTACTTCTGGCTTCAGCTCGTTTTCGCCTTCCTGGGCTTTGGCTCGGATCATGGCTAGCTTGGCCTGCTTCCGGGCCTTCGCTTCCCCCAAAGGACACAAATGGCAGTGGCCACAAGCTGCTTCGTTCCTACAACCCTCTGCTTTCCAGAACCATGCACACGGCTTGCACTGGCCGCTGCCGTGCAGCCGAGAGCCGATTGAAGGTAAAGCGTCGATGGCATCCGATGCCGTCCAGGAGGGCGCTGGTGGAAGACCCTGCTCTGTTAGGTTGAGGCATGGAGCTGATGATGGTGGCGGCACAGTCGGACCGCCGTCACACAACTCGGTGGCTGCGTCGTCTATGCTGGCAGCTTCGGCTGCTTGTGCTTTCTTTTGCTTCAGCTCGCCTTTGCGCCGCTTGATCTCTCCAGCTGGGCACAAGTGGCACCGCAAGCATGCAGCTCCATTCAGGCACCCCTGTGGCTTCCAAAACCAAGCACACGGTTGGCAGCTGCCCAACTTGTGATGTGCTGAGCCCACAGAGGGCAGGGAAAGGCCGGACTCCTCTTCTGCTTCGGCTTCATCGCACTCGGGTGATGGCATCGGTGATTCTTCCGTCTTGCACACACCCATACAAAAGGATGACGCTGTTCTCCTGCAATGGCAAGGAATGGGATGCCGTTTGGACTCGAAGTGCCAATAAGTCCTGGCACTGTCTTCGGCAGGAACCTCAACTTCCTGCCTCAGATGTGACAACCAGTAGAGGTGGATAAGGAACATGTACGAACACAAGAAGCCGAGGCCCATGCTGCTTTTTCTTTTCCTGCGGGTACACAACTCAGTAGGCACCAGCGCAACCCTCTGTGGAGTCGGAAACCATGGCTGAGAGCCCGACCTTCAAACACATGTCAGGATGAGGGCAGGAGCAGCTCCTACCTCTTGAGCCCCATAGAAAACAAGTCTTCGACAGGTGCCAGGCAGGAGTGCATCGCTTTCATCAGAGCTGCCTCCACGTTTAGCTTTTTTGCATACATTGGCGTCCAGACATCTCCAGTTTCAGAAACGGCCATGCTAACAGAGAAGGGTTCGAACGATGGAAACGGCCACGCCCTCAGTTTGATCGGAGGCACCAACACCACACTTCCGCGAGTGTTCGCGAAAGGAGCTTGGAGCCCCGATGTTGATGTCACATCCCCGGCACAAGCCCGGGGTATGATGTCAATAACACCTGGTCGCACTCACTACAAAGATGCATCGCAGCCGGTTGACGCAGGCCTTTGCAACCCTCCAGCAATGGCAGTAAGCAAAATATATCTCTGTTGCACGGGCATCACAATCCTAACGCAAGCGACGACAACAACAACAACAACAACAGCGCCTACGCTGCGGGGGGATCGTCGAAGGCCAAGCCAACCGCCACACGTTAGTGCCATTTTGCACTGCTGCCTCATGCGATACGGCTTTGTAACGCAAAGGCAGGACACAAACCTGGCTAGACGGCACGGCACCGATGCACATGCAGCGAGTGAAACCCACTGTCTGGGTGACTTATGTGCATACACAATTTCACGTCTGGCCAACTGCAATGCATCCGGGCCACTTGCTACGTAAACATCCTACATGACAAAGAAGCCCGGCCGCAACACCGGAGCACACACCCTACGATGTGCAACTGATGGTGCTAGGCGGACCGACTGCTCCTTTGCCTGGGCAGCCGACCGGACTAAGAAAGTCTCGAAGTTTCCGATGCCCAGTCTTGCCAGCTGCCAGTAGCAGTTCAAGCTTTGATGAACTCGGGAGCAGAAACTCAAATTTGGTCGGCAAGGCGGCAACGCTGGTGGTTCTGTTTACCATGTAAGGCCATCTCTTCCACACACTGGAAACAAGCCTTCAGCTACTAACTAGGGCACAAGGGCCAGGATGATCGCTTGACCCGTTTCGAGTCTTACCCATACGGGCAGAAGAATGGCTGAGCTCTTGCTGATTCACCACAAGCAGTGGCGAGAAGCTTCAGTGTCCGATACGGCCTCGCGGCTAGCGGCTAGAATTTGAAACTTCCACCAACAGACACACACCTGTAGGAACAAGTGCTCAGCCCTCACCGCCCTTCTTTTTCAGAACCTTGTTCTGAATCTGGTTTCTTTTTCTTCGCGGCTCAGGCCCTTGCCACTCTGGCGCAGGCGGTGCAGACGACGCAGGTGGCGCGGAGGCAGGTGGCTCTAGACAAACGTGGCAGTATGAGCAGTCTTGCCCCGCACTGCAGGTGGCGGATTGCATGAGCTCAACACACGGGGTACCTCAGCTCCCAGCCGCAAACAAAGGGCTGTGTCTGCATTGTGACCGTTTCTCATTTCTCCAAACTGAGCAAGCCACAGTTCCCATTGATGTGTGCCACTTGGCCAGGAGACAAATGCTGCCCTGCAGAGCCTGCCCAATGCACACTGGCTCGCCCAACATACTGTGGCAAGCCACTGATCGAGAACATGAGAAGTTTGATGGGTACTTATCGCGGTGCAACTGCACCTGCACTGCTCGTGGTATGTTCCCCACTCTGCATCAGCTGCTGGAGTGACCGTTCAAGATCAGCATCGCCTCATCTCATGGCGAATCAACGAAGGCAAGGATCATCAGCTACAGCTGAGCTTCTCCTTTCTAGGGTTTACGCTCGTGCAACTCGGACAAGACGTTTAGGGGTTTAGGGATCTGGCCGGAAGTCCCAACATCGCCGCTCTCTTCGCGCGCGATCTCGGTGAACCCTGGCTCGGGTCCTCAACGCTCGAAGCTACGAAGCCAAAGTCATCCAAAGCCCAGAAACGCACTTCAAGCATCTTCGAGCCAGGCAGGCCAAAGCTAGGCAGGTGTGAGCACGGCAAGAAAATACTTGGGAGCACAAAGCTTGCAATGGCACGACCTCTACTGGCCCTTGCAGATCCAAGGCTGTGCGCGGAAACTGCCCCAACTGAAGGTCTGACAGTTCTGTGCACACATTTAAACTCATCCATGGCAAAACCGACGGAGCTGATGCGCTTGTGCTAACCAAGTGCTTCCACGAGAAGATCGAATTTCAACAGCCGCGATCAGCAATTGCCTGTATCTTTTAGTTACATATTTGGAGCTATGGTGCGTTATAGAGCTTGCTCATCTTTCACATCATCCTTTCACGATGCGCCCAGCGGCCCTCGCGATTCTACTTCTTCTGTTTGCCACTGAATTCGCATCCCAAGCATTATGGGCATGACAGGTGTTGCAAGCATTCACACGGCCATAATCATTACGAGGCACACTATTCATCACCACTAGAACCCTGCTCGCCTTGAGCTGCATCACACTCATCTCGTTAACACCGTCGTCGCCGCGTTGCAGAGCAGCATAGGCATCCATCCTCATCATCATCGTCGTCGTCAACCTCATCGTCTTCATCATCGCCATCATCATCATTAACATCATCATCCAAGTGGTCACTACAATGATCGACAAGTAGCATCAGCAGCTTCATCACTATCTCATGTCGACATCCACGTCGTCAGCATCATATTGTCGCCATCATCCGCGTCATCTCACCATTCTTGCCTATAGCGATCCTCATCGTCAGCAGCAGCATCGACATCACATCTTCTCGTGAACATCGCGAGCATCGTCAGGATCGGTGCAAGCATCCGCATGGGCATAGTCACCATTTGCATCTAGTTGAGTATCGTCATCAGAAACTGTGCCATCTAGCGACAAGGATTGGCATCAGCACTATCCACATCACTATCAGTCACTATCACCCTACATATGTAACGGTAGCTATGGCTGCGGCGAGGCCAATTCGTGCGAGCCCCGTACAAGTTTGCATTCTTTTTTGCATGCGTGCATGCATCTGGTAGCTAGGCAGGTGGATCGGTGTGGGTGTGGGCAGGCGGGTGGGCGCTGGAAGAGTGGGTAGGAAGCTTGGTGGCCGGGCGGCGGGATAGGTGGGTGCAGAAGGGATGAGTGCGAAGGAGTCAGTATGACCGGTGGAGGGAAACGCATTTTTCGAAAACAGATAAGGCACAGGCGAGAGAACTACCACTGCACACCCACTTCGGTGACTTGGGCAGCGACTCCGCACAGGCATGCGCAAATGCATACTCGGATCACGCTCGGAGAAGCCAACATCGCCTGCGGTTGGACGCAGTGACCGCCAGCATGTTCCTTTGATCCGAGCGGGCCTGGAAGACAGACACAATGCGTCTGGTTGCCACAGTCGAGGCAGGGTGGCCCATCGACCACCTTGGACACGCAACCGTTCTTTTGGGCAACCCAGTGCAATGCGGGTGACAGCGGGATTGGGCGTTCCGGGAGATTCGCCAGGCTGAGTTGCCTGCCCTCCCTCCCTCAAAACAAGCTTCATGGCTTGTAAAGTTGTTAAAGTCCTAGGCTTCCGACACCCATGGGCATCGGCGACTGCACAGATCGGAATTCCTTCATCTTTGAAGGAACCGGCTGCCAAGTTGAGGCAGTCCTGCCAAAGCAAGACAAGTTCGAGCGACACTGCGAGCAGGTTCATGAGCAGGCCACAGGCAATATGTCCTGTATTGCTGAGGTGGCTGCATTGGCTGAGGATTTGGATATGGCGCAGTGCCCAGCACGACAGAGCTCGAGATCATCCCCGGTGTCATTGTCTGCGCCCCCTGCGCCTGGTATGTGGAACCGACGCATTTCTTAGTCAGCCGATCGAGAAACAAGCATCAAGTTTTTCAAGTTGCCTGATTCTCTGGCACGAGACGTTCTGCCAGATTGATGTAGTGCGCTTCTGACCGATGGCCAGGTTCGGTACTTCTAAAGCCTCAAGCACTACGGCAGCCGCAGGAATGCCTTTTCAATCACTGGGACACCCCCATCCGGCCTGCTGGTGCATTGACTTGTTGCCTTGGCACGGCGTCATTTGCTCAGGACGGCCAACAGTCTCTCGAGACGCTTTGCAAGCCGTGGCACCACTCTGGCAACGCAGGAAGAGGTCCCGGTAAGGATGCTGGAGGCATCGTCGGCACAGGATGGGGTAAAGGAACCTGCATTCTGAAGTGGGTCGGACTAAGTATACACTGCTGCGAGGTCTTAAATCAAGCACTGCCCGGCACAGCTTGAGACACGACAAGAACTTCTGCAACGGAAGTCCTTCGGTGGAGGGCATAGATGACAAAAGTCACCTTAGAGTATGCATTCGAGAATGAGACATGAAGAAGGAACCGGGGGCGGAGGACATCAAGCCTGGACTTCAGTTCAGGGTGTGAAGGCTCTTCAGCAGAGCAGCAATCCTGCCCATCTTTGCACCCGGACGCAGTCCACTGGAAGAGGCAAGGCCTGATTGGAACATCACAGGAACGAGAACCTCAATTGCTGCCCCACGGTCTCACGATGGCCTGCAATTCCCCGTGCCGTGGCGCTCGGATCCCCGGGACCAGCTGCCCATCCTTAGCTGGCAGGATGACCGCCAGAGCCACAGGCAATACATAGCATTACGTACTAGGTCCTCAAAAGTGCTTCGTCCTCATTTGCGAAACAGCGGAACATTGACGGTTGTGTTTTGCTTCGGGGCGCCAATGGATTTGCCCGGCGCGTAGCTGTTACACAGCCCGGCACTGAGAATGAATTCTTTTCACAGCATCCCACCCTGCTCACATTGGAAACAAATCCGCCGTTTTCTTAACTGGTGCGGCGTGCGTAGCTAATTATTCTCACGCCGGAAACCGAAGTCTCTCAGCCGTACTGGCCTGATCCGTGTCGGCAGCACCCACAGTAAGCCGGAGTCATAGCATGTGCCCGGACAAGAATCCACCGGGGTACTTGGAATATATTTCGGTCCGATATGCTGGCTAGCTCGTTCCCCTCAACCGCACCCTGGCCCCGCCAACGGTCCCGCACGGGCGGCTCGAACTGGCACTCCCAGTCTTTCGGGGATCTGGTAGGTATGGTAGGACCGTCTAATCGCCTCTAGACTCTAGACAAAGATGGCGAAGCTTCGATCCAAGGAACTGCCTCGCTTCTGATTCCTCCGGCGTAGGTGGACCATTGTGGCCTGTGCCGGGAGCAGGAGGAGCAGCCGGCCCGCACCTCAAAGAAGATCCATACGCGCTCGACCGAGGCCTAGTTGCGTGACTGCCTGGTCTCATCCAACTCAGCACGAGACACGGCATCCGCCGGAGACGGCGTCGTGGGAGGCGGGGGAATTGGTTTCGAATTCTCTATCCACGGAGCAGGTTGTTCCTCTGCCTGCTGCCAAGTCCACTCCTGCCTCCTTCGCAGAAACGATGCATCGGCACAACACTCAGCTTCGCGATCACCCGAAAATCTCGTCCTCTTCCCTCGCTCTCGCTGCAGCGGTTGGGCTTTGGGAGGCTCGCCACCCTTGGAGTGTTCCCTCCGCCGCTTCTTGGCATCATCCTGGGCTTGCACGTGACATTTCCAACTCATTGCCAATCCTTCCGGCATTCAAGGATGTCTCAGGTTGCGGTACCACATGCGGCTGAGATGCTGGAGTACAAAGGTGGCAGTGCGTGCAGTTGTAGGCATTCCGACACCCACCAGGCTTGTACAGCCATGCACAGGGGCGGCAAGACCCAAGCGCATGCGCCCTCGAGCCTGCAAGCACACAAGTTGACACCCTTTGACTACGACGCTTCGACGCCGGCCTACGGAAGGCAGGGCCGAGAAACGTTCACGGCCTCACAGAAGATGTGACAAGCAGTGACGGAGTGGTGCTTTGCAGATGACATGACGCGCTTCCTTGGACTGCAGCGATCACAGCTGCTGCAGAAGCACTAGCCATTAGTCACTAGCCACTGCTTCGCTAGGAAATCCGTGCCTTGAGACACTTGAGACCACTCGTCGTATTGCTCGGGTTCATCATACACCCGTCCGGCAGTAGCAGCCTCACAGTTCGAATGCTCGGCCAGATGGCATGCTGAGCTGAAGGACGTGCTGCGGTATCACGCAGCTTGCCTTCCCCGGCACCTCCCCAAACGAGTGCGGGATTTGCGAAACAAACATCAGCATTCATCTCCAAACATGACCTCGGATAGCGCACGCTGAAGAGCATGGGAAAGGGTTTCAAGCTGTGCCTGGAGAACGTAGCCACGACCAGGCTTGGCTTCTAGACTCCCGGCTCTGGTCCGATTCAGCTTGAAAGCAGGCTGATGCTGAGTCATTGCATATCAAGCACTCCAGCAAGCTACTCTGTGTCCATTTCTTGTGCAACATGACATTTTGCCCCGCCCCCTTGCTAACTAAGGAGGCAAGACGAAAATTGTGCTCAGAAAATCTTCCTCCTAGGATGAGCACCCAGAAGGCGCATCGGTCCAGCCCGGCTGGGAGGTCAGCTTGGGAACAACAGCCCTAGCTGAGTCCGTCTGCGCAATGGTCACGCGATGTGACACATTGCCCTCACTTCGGGCTTTCAGCCATCCTGGCAGGACAAGTCGCACGCAGTCACTGTCCAAGAACTCATGGCAGTAAGACCATCGCAGGCTCCACTTTGCTTTTTTTGCAGCCAGCTCCTCGGCAGCCTTCTCATAGGCTGCCAGCTGATCCTGCCAACCGGAACACTGTGGCACCGTAAGCTCAGGCTCTTCCCTGCATCTGCACCTGCCACGATTTGTCTTCTGAGCGTGCACCTCTCTCGGAGCCCGTGCCGAAGTCCAGGGCCTCGAATCCAAGAGAGGAAACACATGGACTTCTGTCTGTCCTTCAAGGGGCACTTGCAATCGACATTGTAAATAGGACCACCCTTCGACTTTTCAAAAGACCCGACCCGTCTTCAGTTCTTGCCCAGGGCGGCACCTTGATTGCCCACATCACAGGCTCGGGCAGGTTCAGGTCCTGAGAAGCAGAGGCGGAATAACGTAAAAGCGCTCTGCACGAAGCCACGAATTTTCGGATATTTTCGGAAATGGGAAGTCCTGCCCTGCTCCACGCTGGATCTTGCTCTCATCTTCTAAAGGCGTGTTGAAGCTCCACCTGCAGGTTGAATTCGATGCGTGAACTATGTGTCTGAGACTGCACAACTTGGTCATGAAAATCTTCGACCTGGAATTCACACAATACCCTCAGATCCCTCCGTTGGCAATGCAGTCTAGCAGCCCGTAGAGCCCAACCAAAGTAAGCAGGGACAGCCAGTAGGTGGCTGCTGCATCCTGCATCAGCAGACGAAAGGATCGGGACCTGAACCCGTAAATCTACAACATCCTTGAAGAGAATAGGCGCGAATATGCAGACCTTGGCACGAAGCCCTATCCAGGAGCAGCATGCGCCAGCCGTGCTGCAAATCTAAGGACGAGACGAAGGGCAAGACCTCAGCATGCTCTGCATCAGCCGGTGCATAGTAGCTCAAGGATATCATCTTCAGGGACCGCACAAGGAAGGAGATGTCCAGCGCCCGTTTCTCCTGCGCAGCTCTACCAGGCACAACCACGCACTACCAAAGATCCGATACATCTGCGGCGACCAATCATGCGATTGTGTGAGCCATCGAGCTCCTCGTAGCCCATCCCCCACGGTCCACCAGGCTTTCGTGCACGCAGGGCAGGCCTGAATGAGTCTGCGAAACTGAAACGGATGCCCGAGGTCGCCCTATATGAAAAAGTAGAATAATGCTACCTTAGAGTCTAAGTCTGTGGCACTGTAAAGAGCCAAAGACCCCATACGCCGAAGAGCTTGATCCTGGGCCACGGAAGAACACGGCTCCCCGGCTCCCCTCCATCAGGCAATACGACTCCGGGTTCGTCACGCCAACTTGGAACCTCGCTGCATCAACAGCATCGAGGTGTGTGTCTTTCTTTCGGCAGGGTTAGAGGCAGGGGGTTTCCCGGTGTGTGTCTCTTTCTCTCTCTCCCTCTTCCCGGGCATTGAAATCCTCTTTCTTTCGCCGGTGTTGTGGTGGTGCGTTGCCTCCCCTTTCTCTCTCGCTCTCTCGCTTTGCTTTGCTTTGCTCCGGGGTTGAGGTGTGGGCAGTGCTTGCTTGCTTGGGGTGTGGGCTCATGACGAGCCCCGGCCCGAAGGCCAACCCCCCCAAGGCGCGCGGCGAGTTCTGTCAACGAGGCCCTTTTCGGGGTTGAAAGGTAGACTCGTTCCCCTGCTGAACTCTTGTACCCCCGGCCCAACAAAACACCCCCCCTAAACCATAACCAAGTAGACCTCGAGGGTTCAATCTTGCTTGCTTGCTTGCTCGGCGTTTGGGGTTGGGGAGAAATCCCCTTCCCCTGCGCGCATGCGCTACGCCAAGGTCCTGTGTCTGTTTGTCGGCGTGAGACTTGAAGCTCAGCACCGGTAGGATCCAGGCCTATTCCCTCTTGACATCGCAAGACAGCTGACATGAACGACATGAGTACATCCCGCCTGGTCCTTAGCGCTGGTGCCGAGCCCCTCTTTGTACGGTCTCTTCGCTGTTTCCCCGAGCATTGTCGGGCGGAGCAGTAGAAGAGTCGGTAGGGTCCCCTATGGCGAAGTGCAAAGCAACAAGACTGCAGACAATTCAAGTAACACGAGACTATTAAACAAGTACAGGAGCGTCAGCACGGTGGGGTCCCCTTTGCTACTGTCTCCTGGCTTCAGTGTGGTTTGTGGTTAAGTTGCTTGTTGTCGGCGGGAGTCCCCGAGGGAAGCAAGAGGGGGCGTAGGTACAAACGGCAGTGGGTTAGGAAGCAAAGGGAAGGGGACACCTGAGGGGAACTAGGGGAACGTCACACACGCAGGCCTCGGCTCAAGGTGGCAGTTGCTGGTGGTGCTGGCTTGTCCCTATCTGGGTCAGCGCTCCGGTTGCACAAGCGGCGTGTATGAAAAAGGTGCACAAAAACCCCGTAGCCCCTAACGAAAACAACAGCCAACTAATCATCAGACATTGCCGCGTGCAAACGTCTGCGCCTGTGGGAGGAGTCTTCCCCTCGGCCCCTAGCTTCGTTGTTCTCACCCTCCCCGCTCTCAGAAGGTGCCGTTGTTCGCGCTGCCGGCGTGGTGGCGCTGCGTCGTCTTCGCTCTAGGCCGAACGCCTCGTCCTCTTTCTCGGTTCCAGGCATATCCGCGGAGTCCAGGCTGCAATCCCCGTGGTGCCCTTTACTTTGCCTCCCCGCCGGTGTCCACAACTCGGCTCGAGCTTTCCCCGCAGAGTGGCCTTCTTCTGCTTGTCCCCGCAACGGCTGCGGTGGGTTCCAGGGCACTGTGTCCATAAGTGAGCTGACCGAATCGGTCGCAGAGTCGCCGACGAGCTGGACGTCGTGCCCCCATAGCCCCCTTGTCCACGACTGCAGTTGGCCAGGTGCTTCTGCTGCGATCGGCACTTGATCTCCCACAAGCGTCGGCATCAGTTGTGTGATGAGCTGCTGCGCTCTGAGCACCATGTATGCCGAGGTTTCTTGCTGCTGCCGAGGGGCTTGCTGTTGTGAGCCTGCTGCTGTACTCTGTCCCCGCCGCCGTGCTGGGGCTGTCACGGCCAGGTGGTGCTCTGAACTTCGCTGTGGTGGAGCTGCTGCTGTGTGGTTTTGCCCCCGTTCTTGCTGCTGCGACGGCTGTCCTGGCCCCTGGTGGTGCTCTGAACTTCGCTGCTGTGGTGCTGCTGCTGTGTTGTTTTGCCCCGGTTCATGCTGTTGCTGGCTCGCTGTGAGCCCCGGCTCCGGGTCTGGCTGCTGTTGCTGTGTAGTAAGCACCACCACCGCAGCCGCCGAGCGAGAGCTCGGGCAACCGCAGTGAGAGAGCCTGGCCGAGTGGGGATGAAGGGGACAGAACAGAACTCATGCAACGTTCCCTTGCGGAGAAGACAGGGGACCTCCCCGGGGCAGACCCCACTCACCCACCGGCCCAAGCCAGCAGAGACCTAGCACCCCAAGGGGAGCGGGGACAACACAAACCCCCACACCAGCCCCAGCAACCGACACCACCAGCAGCCTCTACACACCCGCTTTTCGCAGCTCCTAGCACGCAGACGCAAGAGGAGATGGTGGCGGTGGCTATGATGGTTGAAGCGGGGCAAGCGAGCATGGTGGAATGGACAGGTGGCCGCAACCCATGCCAGGACTCGCTAACGGCCGCCGAACCAGAGGCAACGTTCGCTTCCCCCGTGTTGGCTGCTGGTCAGGAGGGCTGCTGTGCGCCGATGCTGAGGGGTGCTCCCCTTCTGCTTCTGCGTCCTGTATTCGCTCGCCGGGCAGCAGAATATGGTTGTGAGCCCCGACTTCGTGTCCCCTCGGGATTGCCGTGACTGTCCACGCTGCTACATCGCCAGCGTAACGTTCGAACAGTGTCCACCCCTCGTCCTCCCAGATGATGAGGAAGCTGTCCCCGCGTCGGAGGTCCACTTCTCCCTCTGGCCTTTCCTCCCCGTGACGTCGCCGCGGGGTCTGGTCGACTTCAATGAGCCAGGCCCCGGGGACGATGGAGCTAGTGAGCCCCCACTTGTGTCGGCTGGCTATGGCGACGTCCCCGAGCGGTGTTGCAACCAGATTGACCCCTGCTGGGAACCACTGGTCTTGTCTCTCAAGGGCCGGGGGCGTCTTGCAGCTGGGGTAAATCCCCTGCGCAAGAAAGGGGTCCGACTCTGGCGCCGTGGGGATGATCCTCATATCCCACCTGCCCCCGCCTCGGTAGAGGCACAGCATCTGAGAGTATGCTTGGAGCGGTAACGAGGAAGGGAGGGTGGGGGGAGTGCCCTCGTCAATCCATGTGATTTGAGCGTTTGGTGCGAAAACGGCTTCCTGGTTGCGCCTGTGGGCCCTGGCTATGCTGCTTGCCGGCACTCGTGTGGACCCGGTGGGGTGCTGGTGCGGCAGGACGCTGTGGGGCTGAGGGTGTTGGGGGCGTCCCCTGGTCTGGTTCCCACTTCCAGCTGGTCTTGACCCGGTCGTTGGCTCCTGGTTGGGGCGTGTCCCCGCCGCTGCTGCTGCTGGTTGCTGTGTCGGTGGTCCCCGGCTTGGGCGTGGCTCCTCAGTGTGTGCCGGTCCATGCTGTCGTGGAGGCTGTCGCTGCTGCGCTCTTTCTCTTGCCAGGGTCCCTTCCTTGGAGGTTGGGTCCTCATTTGGCGGCTGCCGTGGTTGGATGAGCTCCGCGTCCCCTGGGCTCATCGGCTGCTGCTGCTGCTGCCCGGTCACTGTTGTTGGCGTCCCTTGGGGATGCCACCCTGCTCTCGCCTCTGCTTGCTGCTGGGCTTGTGTCCCTTGTTTGGACGTTGGGTCCTCCCGGTGCTCAGAGCTTGCTTGGGGGGTGGTCCGCGTGACTGCTGTTGGTTGTTGGGCGCTTGAGCTGGCCGCCTCGTTCTCGGTGTTTGCTTGCTCTGCTTGTGGAGTCGCTTGTGCCACAGGCTCTCTGGGCAGGAGGTGCCTATTTAATAGGTCTGCGAATCGGACTGGTTGGTAGGGTCCTTGTGCAGCCCCTGCCCTAGGGGCTTGCCCCGGTTGGTCCCCGCTTTGGGGATTTTTGAGGTACAACCAGCGCCCGACCTGTCTCCACGTTAAGTGCGGGGGTTTTCGCCAGCCACGTTTGGCGAACTCCGAGTGGATCCATGTCTTGTTCGCCTTATTCCTGGCGCGCTGGTCTCCTGCACCTGGTGTGTAGCGGCTTCACGGCTGCTGCTGCGCCGTCGAACTTGGGGTCCCCGCGTCGCTTGACGAGCTGGCTGCTGCTGTTGGCTGGTAGTTGTCAAGGTGTGCGGGGTTGCTCCCCGTGCTACCCTGGGGGTAGCTGTCCTGGGGGTGCTGCACCTGCTGCTGGTGATGGGGGACCTGTGCCGGGGGTGTCTGTCCCGGTTGGTCGCTTGGGGCTGCTGTTCCTGCGTGGCTGCTTGCCTGGGTCGCCGCAGCTTGCGCTGGTTGTGCAGCGGCTGCTTGGCTCTGTGGAGCCTGATCCTGCTGCTGCTGGGGGGGCTCCGATGTTTGCTGCTGATGTGGTAGCTGTTGTTGTGGACAGCTTGGGTTGGGTTCAGTCCCCTGGTCACCAGTTGGTGGCTCGGGGTGGTGCTCTTCAGGTTGCTCCTGTGTCCTCGGTTGGGCTTCGGCTGCCTGTTTGTCCGGGACGGGATGTTGCGGGCGGTCGTGAAAGTCGTGTTGTCCCAGGGGGATGTGCCTGGGTGGTGGCTGCCACGGTCGTCTTTTCCTGCTCCATGGCTCCATCTGGGGCTGTTGGAGGCTCGAGCTTGCTGCGGCTGCTGCTTGGTCTTCAGGTGGGGGATGATCTGCTCGGGCGTCTGGTTCCTCCGCTGGTTGCTGGTGGTGCTGATGACTTGGCCTGTCCCCTTCCTGCGCGCCTCGGGCCTGGTCTGCCTCTCTTGTAGGCCTGGTCCCCACTATAGGATCCGCAGCGAGATGCTGCAGTGACGCCCTGAGTTGCTCCCAGGCGTCGTCGGTGCTTAGTGGGGGGGGTGCTTGCGGCTGCTGCTGTCGTGTCCTCCTCGAGGGCGTCTTCGCTCCGTTGGTTGCCCCTACTCAGTGTTGTTTCCGGTTCTGCGGTGGGGGTGGCCTGGGTTTGGGTGGTGCCGAAGACTTGCCTGTAGAGGGCCGTTGGCTGC